CCCGGATCCCCACCTGTCTATTCACAGGTGGAGTAAAATGTTGAGGAAAAGGATCAGAATTCTGCTGATGGCTTAAGAAGTTCCACTTTTGCAGATTCTAGGCTACTATAAACTGTAGCAAGTTCCAGTTCCACGGTAAGTAATGCAGTCTCTGAGACAACCCAATTTCTATCCACTTACCATCAGACTACTACTCTCGTTTTTTGGTCTTGGGGCTTTGCATGTTCTTTATGGCCCGCTTCAGTGTATTTCTAAAGATTACAACTATTCCTTAATTCATCGAATATTATTATATAGGTACCTTTCCACGATGTTTACTTTTCGAAAACGAAGAAAGTTCCATGGAGTTGTAAAAGGAAAAGTTGATAAAATTTGTGTCCGATTCGTTTTTAGCCTCCAATTTACAACACCTCTTCACTTATAGAGGGAAAAAATAAGAAAAATTAAACCCACTAGCTAATTAATTGACTGGGCCTGTAGGTTAAAGGAAAACCAAACACAATTCAAACAGCAAGATATAAAAAAGTGTTCCTTCTTTACAAATGAAACCGATCATTTAAAGTTTAACATCTCCTCCTCACCTATCAAACTTCGAGAGCAATAATTCTACTAATGATTTCCTCTTCCCAAATATTACTCGGAGGCTGACTATTTTTTTGTGTGGTACTGAGTAACTGGAGATTCAATAGTATGTCACTGTGCAAGTGTAAGGGCAGCTGAGTAAGTCGAACAGTAGAGCATAAAGGTTTTTAAGCGGATTGAACCTGACCTCGGTTTAAGGGAGGTAACGAGCACTAAATAATATCAATTCATCCCCCTGGATCCTAGCCATCCTACTTTTGCACCGTCTTTACTCTATCGCACTGAAATTAATTTGTATTTCAAGTAAGAATTTAACGCTTTTTTAAAATATGGCCACAATTCCTAGAAAGTCATATTTTCCTCTGCTTTACCTGATCTGGATATTCTTGTATGTGTGCGTATGTGAATATAACAAACACACACACACACACACACACACACACACACACACACACACACACACACACACATACACATACATATACACACACACACACACATACACACACACACACACATATATATATATATATATATTATATATAAATATAATTTATATATAAACCAGAATACATGTAATTGTGGATGAGAAGCAGCTCCACATAATCTCAACTCGCCAGCACAGATGAACTTGCGTTTAAGCGAACTTCCTGGTTTTTTAAGATCCATGCTGCGGTCGGCTCTCCGGTATGGGAGGCCCCCACAACAAAAGGAACACGTCCATGAGCGTCTGGCGGCCATAGACAAGGAAACTGGTACAAAAGAGCCGGTAAGAGCGATTAATTGCATGGGCCTTTAGCACTGGATCACCCGCGCACAAGCAAAGAGAAGAAAAAAACGACTTGTTTGTTGATCCTACCGTCTACAGGAGCCTGCCGACCGCCGGGCTGGAGTGTGTGGGGCTCGCCATTCGCCATCACGCCCAGATGCGGACGGGGGATGAGAAGCCTCATCTCAGGGCAGCCAGTCAGTATTATGTCGTTATGTTGAGTCATTTTTTCACACTCCCCTTTTTTTCTTATTTGTACAATT